TTTTTTGAAAATATACAGTAAGGTTCCATATTACCACCCGATTTTCTCTAAGCCTACTTTCTGACTTTTTGTACAAAAGCCTTCAAAAACCATACTTATAGTTACACTAACGAAAAATCCAATTAGGAACATTTAGTTTAATAGTTACAAGTACTTTTTGCACAAAAAATGTGGGTGTAGTTATGATACCTTGTTTACAATTCACTAAAATGTAATTGGGGTTCCATAATACCACCTTCTCCTCCACCTAATTTAGGCCTATATACTGTACAGACGATAGTAAACTCAACTTACCCGCCTAAAATCTCCGTAGTAAAAATTTTAGATATTAGACTTACAAACATATAATTAATATATAATTATATATACAGTACCTAATTTATATATAATTTAAATATAATACTGTACAGACGATAGTAAACTCAACTTGCCCGCCTAAAATCTCCGTAGCGTGGCGCTGAACGGCGGAAAGTAGTTCCGCCGTTCAGTAGGCTGCTGGTCCACTATTGCGATGACGTTTTACCGCATTTTACGACTCTCTTTTAGCGTCCTTATACGAATACGGTCGCAATTTTTTCGCCGCGATATACGAATCCGCATTATTTGAACCCGCGTTATAGGGGGTCTACTGTACTTTTAAAATTTAATAAGCAAAATATCACAATTCCCGGAATTGACCTTTCACCCGGCTACGACGTAATCGACTGGACTCGACTTTCCATCTCAATTTACAGACTGATACGTCAACTCTATTCGAGATTGGTTCTTCCACTTCGGTTAAAGCGCATAGAATATGGACAGTGACAACAAAATATTAAGCAGTGTTCTCGTGTTTAAACTAGCCAAATAGACTTATAATAGGCCAATACAGACTGTATTTCAACCGATGTTCTACTAGTAAAATATTTCATCACAGAGTAATGCACTACGGGAGGAAACCATTTCCACGTTGAACTTTAACTAAAAACACACCTTGCAGTCGATATGTGTTCAGACCAGAATTATAATTACTTCACAATTGTATATAAACTTCTATATTTAATAAAACTTATTAAATTTCATGCACGAACTCACCACCGAAAAACTCGGTTACTTGAGGGTACTTATTGGGTGCAATTTGAAAATACTGTAGAACTATAAATTCCCACTGTAGTCCACCTGTCTCTACTCAGAGAATTGTATAGATTCAGAACAGCAACAATGAATAGAGTTTTGTTTCTTTCAAGTATTTGGCAATTATCTTCCCAAGTGATTGATCATAAGAAACATAAGAACTTAAAGAGAATTAAGACATAATGAATGGAAAATAAAAAGCAGTAATCTAAAAAGACACTTAGGAAAGATGAAGAGTGAGGATTATAGGACTTCGATAGAATAGATGAACTATAAAAGAAGTTTGGGGGGAAAACAGGATAGAAGGGAAGGCTCTGACCCAAAAAAGTTTTGGAACAGGAGAGGTATGATAATTCTGATAGATGAAAGGCAGATGTCAACCACACCATTAACTTCTTATATAATCCAATTGTTTGATGTGTTTTAACACACACCATTGATTAAGATCTTAAGGCTGCCAACTTTATGGTTTATTAATAAACCAAAAATTGTCCATGGAAGTAAAATCTAGATCAATAGTACACTACATATACATAATTTTACATCTTCACATATCTTGACTATTCATCTTGTAGGAATGAATCAATACTCAATTATATGATGAAAGATTAATCTATAAAGCATTCAGGATTTAATTTTCAATATTTTCCTGTTTTCATCTGAATACTTCATTTCCATTCTTTTAATAGTCCTGTATTTCTATCTTTACATGGATGTCATAATTGAATTTTTCCACTACATTCCAGTCTTGATTTTCCAAAAATCAACTTCAGAGTATTAATTTCAGAAATTAGAAAGGTTTTTATGTAATAATGATTAATGATGATCTAAAGGCTCACTATTAAGCTGTTATCTGAAAGGGTTATGCTCTAATTATATTGAATAACTTATGTTCTACTGTACAGAAATAGAGCTATAAAAATGTCCCTAACTAGTTTGTTTTTAGGTTCATTTCAAAAGAATTTTTAAATTTAACAAATTAAACTTACCCTGTCTCTAATCTTTAGATCAATTCCATTATTTAGTTTTCTTTTATCGCCAAATTTAGAAAACTTGTGGTTATCGTCAATGCAGAATTTGAATTCCGTTATTTCTTTGCCCCATAGTGTTTTAAAGTTTATTAATTATTATACATGTATTTACACGTACTTAATGTGGTTAAAATAATAAAACGTTTACGAGTTACGGCCGAGCTAGTAAAAAGCACCGATTCCCTTTAAATAAACTGGATTAAAATTGACTTCGGATAGGGTGATTATTTGATTTGCGTCTTTTAAATAATTTCTTAAAAAATTAATTATAGTGATTTTATTAGATTAAAAATCAATTTTTGGCAAAATTTGTATAATTTACAACAACAAACTCTTCTCTTTACAACAAGATTTATTCATTCTCCCATATAACCCCAGATTAGTTATACATGACAACAGCCACACAATTGTGGATATAGACATGCATCAGTTAAAAAAAACAAAGGAAAAAACAGTTTACAGTACATATTATCAGCAAAACAGACTACAGCCATGTCTGTAAGCAAGCCATCAAAATATATAAAATATATCAAAAATATATAATTCTGTGACACAGTACTATTGCCATGTATGTCAAATATGGGAACAGCAATTGAATGTCAAATCTGTCACTACAACTAGGAACTCTTAACTACAAATATCTGCGATGTTTACTACAATAAATGGTCGTGATGTGGATGAACAGGTGCTGATTTTAATGTTATTTTAAAATTTGAAGATAAAATAAAAACAAGAGTACAAGCACCATTTTTTTTTTTGTTTGACTGCGATATATGCTCTCTGCATAAAATGCATTTTGTGCCAAAGAGTATAATTATATTCGTAAACGGTTTTGCCCAAAGACGACTGTTTTTCGTTTTAATAATCTCTTTGCCATTAAAAAAAAGAATTAAGCTCAACAACTTTTGGTAAAAATATGCTCGATATGTCTATGCTTTTTGAAACGATTCGAAAAGCAAACGGGAGAATTTGCTCCGCTCGCAATCGTATGATACACTTTCGGAGTATATTAGTCGTTTAAAAACTGAATGGCAAATATAATTACGAGAAAACAATATTGGTTTGAAGAACGACACGACAGTTAAAAAATTTCTTGACATTTTAAAAACATTGAAAAAAAGTTCCTGTGTTAAAAATGAATTTCGGTAGCTGCCATTTCAGACTAGATCAGAAAAATGGACAAAATTTAAAAACTGATCACACTGCTAATTTAACAGTTGTTTGTGCACAGAGCACAATCGTTTTGGCACCGTTCTTTACATTGTACTTCATATTTAGCTTAAGTACTGTTACAATTTAAAAAAATTCATTTAACAATGTTAAAGGTATGCTGAAAATGACTAACTAATATGTAAAGGGCTTGATATGTCCAGTTGTAAGTTTTTGATGTCTAAAATTTTTTTATTTATTTCTAAGAGACTAGATGACATTTTATTCTGTAATAAATTCTAGGATACTGTTAAAAGATTTTTCAAGTTCAAACTTATGAGTAATTGATCGAACGTCGAGAGCTCGGAGTATTTTCCATCAACATTTATTCATTTGCAATATAAAAATCAAATAATTAAGTATTTCGTAAAGAGAGTTTATAAAACTTGAGTATACTTCTGAATATGGCATATTAAAAGGTACTTTTAAGTTTATGTATGAAGATTTAGAGGACATTAATGAGCAAAACTGCACAGCTAATTTAAACAGTAAGAATTGAGGAATATCAAAATGTTTGTATTAACTGTGCAACAATGATTAGATGAAACTTTATTAAGGACAGATGATACATAGAATATCACAGTTTCATTATTATAAAGAAAATGTTTGAACAGTCATCTTAATAATAATAAAGTTAATGTCATTTTCAGCTCACCTTCTACAATTTAACAGTTAAATCAAAAGGCATAAAAAAATGTCAAAATGACAAAGTTTTTAAGTACAAATAAAATTTAAAAAAGAAGAAAATCTTGTTTTTTTTCTTAAAATAAACATTCCAGATCAAAACACTTATTGCTGCTATAATATGAGGTAGGGAAAAATGACACCTCACATATTAGCATACAACTTCAAATAAAAATTACTTTCTAAAATCAAAAATTACATTTGGAGGTGGGAAGAGGAAAGCCCACTTGGTATAACTTGCATAAAAAATGCTAAGGAAGAAGCAACCATTTTTTTTTCTTCCTTGACATATTAAAACAGCACAAAATTACAACCATACAATTATTTACACAGTACATATTTTTCAATGTGATGAATAAAATAAATGGCACACGGTTCTGGGAACAACTTGGATGGCAGGAATAAATGATGGCAGGTAGCGATAACAAAAAGGCAAGGTCAGGCGTTGGCTAGTCGCTACGTTTTTGTGTGTGTCGTCCTCCACGTACGGCGAGTGCAGAAACGAAAAATATCGGCGATATGGCACCAACTACAAATGTCTTTGTTTCGACAAACACGAACAGAAACCTAAACCTTGCCTATCTTCAATATCAAATGCACCAAAATGTTTATGATACAGTTGTCTTGGGATATCTAAGCAACCAAAAATATCCGGTTGCATTGAGCAATAAACAGCTAAACTACATCCACACAGGTCAACAGAAACAGACCCATGTATACATCAACAACTGAACAACTGAAGATATATGAGCACTGTAGATTACTACTGTATATATATATTTATATATTTACAATCAATGTCTGTACAAAATTGATTCACCGTTTTCAAGATGTTTATATATATATACAATTTTATTAGCTTTGCTTCACTATGACCACTCTATTTACTATGATGCTGACATTAAGCCAATGAACAACTGATGCAAGCTCTTAAAAATATCTTTCCTTCATATACATAGGCTTTTGCAATTAAATTTCTGGAAAGTTCTCGACAAGTTCCATTCTAACAAATATGCCGGCATTAACATTTAACAACAAATTCTTGATGCCATTTTGCTTTGTTTTATAAAATTTCAATGTCACTTGGGACCAAAAAAGTTCTGTCCTGTACTCATACTGTTTTGTGAACTTCCACGAGTATTAGTTGCATAAAGCTGTTGTTGAAAATTGTGGAATTGAACTGCATAGTTAGGATCAGCAGTTGTTGGTCCACAAAACGGTGATTGTTTGTAACTAAAAGAGTGTCCCATTGACGGTGGTAATGGTTGGCTAGCCTCTGGTGGCATGCCCGCTGGTGATAACTGTTTGTTACCATACATTGCTGGGCCCTGAGAACCAATTCCTATAATGTTTCCAGGTAAACCACTTGGTTGACCACCGTGCCGTCCAAATATGGGCGATTCTCGTCCTCCAATCTTTAAAATACTGGGATACATTTGATTAACACCTTGTGGAATTGGTCCTGGTGCAGGACTTCTCATACCCATTGCTCCAACTGCCATATTCATTGCTCTTTGACCACCCATAATTGACTGACCTGGTACCATACCACTTGGTGGAGTTGGAGGTAAAGAAGCAGCCATATTATTTACATTTTGAGTATTATTGCTTCCATTTGGAAAGTACTGAAGATTATGTGTGGGAACTTTATTATCTAAATTAGTAAGAGGGGTGGCAAATCTCTGAAGGAAGTCCAAACTTGGAGGTCTTGCGGGAGGAGGAGCTGTGCTCTGTGGCCTAGCTGGTAAGTATTGAATTGTGTTTGGTGCATTTGCTTTAACGTGAATGTTTGTGCTATTAAATGGTGTGACTGCACCAGGTGCACGCGTCATCATGACTGGACTCATTGAAGCAACAGCTGAATTCATAGTCCTTTGACCAGCAACTGACTGACTGGAAAAAGGCTGTACATGAGAGTTTCCATGCAAAGAGGCCATAGCCATGTTTACAGAAGCACTTTTGGGCGATACAGTACTATGCATTATAGGATGATTAGTCGTTACTGATGAACTTATTGTTTGGGTTCCAGATCCTGGATTAATCTGTTGAGACATCATACCTGGACTTGGATTCATTGGAGGTATATGAATATTTGGATTATAGGCTGATGTTGTAACATTTTGAATATTCAATTGTTGAATGGACATTGTAGCATTTACATATGTGTTATTAACAGTCTGTGGACCTGTACCCATATTGTGAGCCATCTGATTGGCAATGTTATATGAAGGTTGTCCTTCTTGTTGATGTATCCCCTGCATAGATTGCATATTTGTATGAAAATTTACCATATTTGGCTGATTGTTAGCAGTAGCATTTGTCACTTGCATATTTGACAAATTCATTGATGTTGTCATCATATTTTGTGAGGGATGAACATTACTTGCCGTAGTCACCAGAGGGCCAGAATTCTCACTCATTGCAGCCATTGATGCAATAGGATCAAAATGTGTTAATCGCTGGGAATTATTTGCTTGTTGATGAAGTCCAGATGCAATAGTCCCACTATTATATGATTGTCCATTACCACCTGGACCTGGCCCTATTACATCTGTAGAAATTTTATTTGCAGGAGTTATATCAAATGGAGGAGCCATTTTCTGCAAACTCTGCAAATGAGAGTGGCCAGTTTCTGGACCAAAACATGCACCTGAAGGCATCATGGGTTGACCAGGTCCGCAAGGCATTCCATGTCCAGGTTCACCACATGGCATAACAGCTCCAAACTGTTGATGAGTTGGCATGTTGTTATTGCCTCCTATATGTGGTGTAGGAATTCTTGGATTTATCATTTCTAGGTTTGAACCGTGAGGACTTGGACCACGAAACCTTTGAATAGGTTCCATTGTTGGTGTATTGCCAGGAAATCTCATTGGATTATCCATTGCCGTAGCAGGTAATTGCAAAGAACCACACCTTGGACCATGATTAACTGAACCAACAAATCTTTGAGATGGATTATCCATTACAGATGGATGCATTTGATTTGATCCAAGCATTCTAGATAAACCATTAAAGTTTTGATTTTGAGATCCAGAAAATCTTTGAACTGGACCTTCTAGCTGTTGAGGTTGTGAATTTGATCCAACTAAACGGTGACCATTTTCAATTGCAGTATTCATTTGTGGACTTGGCAAAGAAAATCGCCGAGGTCCTCCTTCTATATTTCCTTGTCCTGAGCTATTGAAGTGCGTGGGAAGATTTTCCTGAGTAGTATCCATATTTGATGAAAATGGACCATTAAAATTGGAGAAAGAACCTTGAGAACTGTCTGGTGTAGGAAACGGTTGAGGATGAGATGATGGACTCATATCTATGGTATTACTTGTAATTCTGTAAATAAAAAATAAATAAATCTAACATCAATGAATAGGTAAAACATTCATTTACAAATGAAATCTAAATAGTATTAATGTAATCAACTGAATTTATTGATGATAAATAACTACACAATACACTGTAATCTGAAGTTGTTATATAATTTGGAAAAGATTGAGTTCATGTGATATAAATAGCAATAGTCACCAGAGGCACGAGTTTGTTTTAAAATTTATATTTTGTTCTATTCAGTTACATTCCATTACCTGATGATGTTCATTGTAGATGAATGAAAACATTTGTAGTAGTAAAATTACATATTTTAAACTATTTTTTTGGGTATTTGTCTGATATTGCTGTTAGATATGACCAGATTGACTTGAGGCATTAATCAAGAATTATTAAATGACTGACTGAATAGTTGTTATAAGATTTTACTGATTGATTATGTAGCTAAAGATACATTGGTACCTTGATATAAAAGCCCTTCAGATACTCTAGTACAGAAAGTCCTAGAAAATTACTCACAGTATCAATTGATATAACATTATAATTAGCAACACAAATCTCAGGACGCTAATCATACATACAATTCTTAAGGAAATTGATTAACTTGACCATTAACAACACAAACTCTCACTTCTAAAACAACTTAAGACCAAGAATGAATAATATTAGGGTAAAAATGCCACATAAATAAAATAGTGTAATGCCAATTTATCCTACTCCATTCCTGAAAATCTCTCATAAATTGAATCTTGTAAACAGAGATGATGTATTCTATTATTATGGTTAAAATTTTTATCTTGTTTTGACATAATCCACTAACCCAACGTGCTCCAAATGACAATAAAGTATTACTAAACACCTATTTACGTACCAACTAATGATTATTGTAAAAAAGTATTGATTAGACTATTAATCAATATAAAACAAACTAATGTAGAATGAAAAAAAATATATATATATATAAGAAAAATACACACAAGTTATTAGTTATTTGTTTATATAATGGTAAAAAAACAAAAGTTAATAAGAGCCAGAACAGAGCCAAACAACATCGTTTAAAACAATAAAATTGTAATCACCGATAAAAGGATCTATAATTTAGAGATTAAATTCACATCATAATAAAAAGCATTATTCCTAGAAAATGAAGACACAATGCAAATAAAATGGTTTCTATTTAAATCTATTGATCGTAATGATATGCTACATAATAGACAACTAGACATGGCTCCTATATACACAGTGTATGTATTAGAAGACATATTATGTAGCAAAATTTTGTACGAATCAGTTTTCCCAATCCCTGTCATTTGATAAGCATCTTCTTAAATTAGACTGTGTTTTAGCCATTTGTCCACACTTACCCTGCTTTTTGAAACAACAATTCTAATGGTAAAGATAGTGTTTTTAGCTTTGACAAATTTTTGTATGCATTCTAGATATAGGATACAGAGAATGTAAACCTCTTTAATTAAGAAAACTGTACTCAAAATTGAAAGAAAATTAAGTTGAATAACCCACATTTAAAACAGTCAGCAAAATACATTTAAATTCAGTATTGTTTTCACTGTAGGTGAAAGAAAGGCTTTGCAAATCAGAGCATATGGCTGCATTTTTATAAGTTGCAGACTAAAAGGTCTTGTGTGGAATAATTAAAAGCTTTTTGTTAAAATTATGATCAACACCAAATACTAAAAACCACTTAACAGTCTTTTAATATTAACAGTATATTAATATACAGTAGAGCGTCGATTATCCGAATAAATTGGGGACTGGGGTTGCTCGAAATATCGATATTTTGGATAACCAATTATGTACAAAAAATACATTAATAATATAGTATATCCCAATAATAGTACATTAATATATCCCACATTTAAATTTTTTTCCGTTGTGTGTCGCTTCGCATAAAATTTTCATCGATGTTAAGTCTAACAAAAATTTTTATAATAATAATCGTGGCTATTGTATCATTAAAATTATTTCTTTATTTTGTACAAGCAAAATAAATATATTGAAAAATATAAAAACAAANAATCTTCAAACGATTTTTGCCTGAAGATGGACCCAGGAGGGGTCTGAAAACGTTTGTACTATTAAATTTTTTATTTCGCATCGGTTAAAGGTTCTAAGGTACGTGATATTTTGTTAAATCCGATGTGCAGACGATAATTATTAGGCAACATCTTAACAGGTTTCACTGTACTATTATAAAATGACAAAAAGCTCACTTTGAGGGTAGAGACAAGTTTTATTTTTTTAAATTTTGAATGCTAATAACAAGTAAAATATTCATTAAGAGATATGATACATGACCCCTTTTATGTCTTCACCCTGTCAACCTTTAAGAACCAAAATTTAATAGTATTAATGTCCCTTTATATGCAAGCTACAGTGCCACATTTTGTTTCTTAAACTTTATCCATTCTGACATATTGTTTAATATCTCAGAACAAAAAGTAAAGAAATTAAACAAATTAGATGCCAACACATACACGTGCATGAATTTTCCCCTTTTTATTGACTTTTTCGGGGGTTTGAGAGGTCTCCAAACGTGTAGATTTGCAAAAAAACTTGGAGGGTCAAATTTGACACGATTCCAATACTTTTCTGTTTTATATACATAACAAGTTGGGAAGTAAAAAGGAGTCAAAATCGGTGCATTTTTTGACAACTCCGACTCTGCTAAAACACCAAAACTCCACGACTCCGACTCCACGGTCCTGCATATAACTTATGCAAAACCAACAAAGTAATGAGATAATTAATGTTCCTTATCCAATCCCCATGATTCCTCCACCTGGGGGGCGTTCAAATTTTCCCATAGGTGTAGTTCTAGACCTCTAGGACAAAGTTTGGACATTTCTTATAAATTTACATGGGACTTCATTAAAAAAAGCAACGACAACTGTAATTAGTAAACATACCATTCACTAATTATAATTGCATGTTTCAATGAAGCTATTCTTGTTCTTGGTAGCAATTTGCATAATTTCAGTATGGTAAGTTCTAGAACCAAATTTAAGATGTACGGAATGTCTTTTTTTACAGATCTAGTGTACAAAAATGACAATTAATCCATCCTGTGTAATGTTGCATACATACCAAACAAATTAATCTTTAAGTGGTCTAATTGCAAAAACTTTAATAAGCTGTAACTTCTTTAATACTTGTATTGTGCAGATATTTTAGTGTATGACTGTATTCTTAATTATCTTTCACTTGATATCATTATATAATTAAAACTGTTAGTTATTCCAAGTGAACTTTCCTTGTAAAATAAAAAAAAATTTATGTATAAGAAGAATTCAAACTATAATTAAAAATTCCTAAATGTCAATTATGTCTCATTTAAGAATTATTTGCATTTTGTTGTAACTGCGCATTACAATCAATCAGATGTATTTGATGATACATACAGTTTAATATTCTTAAAACTCAATTTAAAATATTGAACAAATATTGTTATGTTAATTCTAGAAATTATAATCATAAGTTTTTCTACATTAAAACATTTAAAAACTAAATTCAACAAATGACCTATTTATTTTTTTAATTAAGAGAAAAGTTTCATAATAATATAAATACCTCAAGAAATCTTTTTGTTCCTGGCTGAGAACAATGAAAAGCAATGATAGAAGGAAACTGTCCTGTAAGAACTGAATCTGATGCTCTATTGGCAAGACTTGTTGAAAATACAAATATTTGACTTTGTTGTTGCATGTACTGAGTCTCCATTGGAACAGTGGATTTGTTGAGCATGTTGCTTGGCAACGGTTGGACGGAGGATGAGGAGCCAGATGGTCCTGTTGACCCAACCATGTTGGACATAGCAGACACAGGAGGCAACTCCCCTAAAAATGATCATTTTTTAAAATACTACGTCAAAATAAAGTATAGAATAGTAATAATTTAATGTTTTTATAATTATTATTAATAAATTAAAATTAATTCCGAATTATTGCTTGATTACACTGGGTTATAATAAGATACTATTTAATAATTAAATGCCAAGCAATTTAACCTAGAAGTAGGATTAGACACCATCTCTTGATAAGTTTATTAATTATAATTAAATTAACATTTAATAATTAATCTAGAAAGTTCTGGAAGAAAGAATCTAAAGAAACTTGATATTTAAATGTTAAATAGTATCCTTATTATAGCCCAACGTAGTATGGCAATCATTTGGTATTAATCTAAAAATTGCGTTAATAGATGTATAAACATCTGTTTGTTAATATGAAATTTAAAATATGCTTAATTCTGGAAAACAAAGTTTATTAAGTAATATTTTCAGTTTTATTATTTTAAGCCATTTTCGGCTTACAACTGACTTATATAGAACAACTTAGAAAAACTATTTACCTGTTTTGTAATTTAAAATATGCTAATATTAAAACCAAATGATTTTCAGAAAATTTTTTAATATGTATGATTTAAATTTACATCTATAGCAAAAAATTTTAAATCATATATATGAAAAAATATTCTTAAATTAATTTAAAATATAATGGAAGGAAAGATCAATCCAGAGCAAGACTCAAACCTGCAATTTCTGCTCATTACACAACCTGTACTTCCATTAGACTTTTGCTTCCAGACCACTCAATTTAGAAGATATAATATAACCATACAGGTTACTTGCCATGCCAACTTGAACTTTTACCTTGGTGTATATATATTTATAATTACATATAAAACCAAGTCATCATCAGTCAGTGTGATGAGTGACCTGTATGAATATATCTTCTAAATTAACTGGTTCTGAAGTTAAGATCAGACAAAGATTTGGACTACTGTCTGACTAAAGAGAGAATTTTCAGTCTAATATGTAAAAAGAAAATTGTATTCAGAAGCAGTTTAGTTAATGCAAGAACACTGAACATCTTTGTTAGCTGAAGTATTCATATGACATCTAAAATATATCATAAGTATAAAGCAAACAATAACATTCTAAATAAGGCAAAAAAAATGTTTGCCAAGATATATAACAACCTACATCAAAAAACTTAACTGGCTGCATATTGTAAATTAACAAAAATAAATTCTTTCATAATGTACCATTTTTATGATTGGCCATTCATTTTCACTTGTTTAGAAGTATGACATTATTAAGTAATTTATTAATTTATACAATTTACGGTAAAACCTCTCTTTGTGACCTCTGATTTGTCTCTATCTCCAATATGTGACCATGTGTGTTTGGTTCCTTCCATATAAATCAGCCTTGAATATGTGACCGTTTGCACAAGTCAAGGCATGCAGTTACTTCAAATACAACTTTTTGTCATACGGAGCTGTTTTTTTTTTTTGTTGTTTCCAGGCAATGGTGAATTAAGAACTTTTAAGGTCTCTTGATACATCAGATTGGAAGCCCTCTAAATAAATTCTATATCAAACTAATAATGTCTTATGTAGTCTTAGAATTATTTATAAGTTATGATATACAATTATAATGGTAAAACTGCTTTACTCTGTTTCCAGAAATACTATTATAATTAGGCAATAGTCAATGAAATGTAATTTCTATACAGTAATAAGGGTATTAGGGTGGCTAGGTTATCAGCCATCTAATCCTCTTATTACTGTAGAGAATTGCATTCATTAAGCAATCATAAATTTCAGCATGAATTCTTTAATAAGTAATGTTTGGCCTTATTCAAAAGCATTCATAAGGTTACAGTACTATGAATATCAAAGACCCTCACAAAATATCTATGGAAATGTTCTGCGAGTGTCTTTGATATTTGAAAAAGTAACTTTATCATAAACAAACTACTACTAACACTTAGTCTTTTTTAACTTGCTTAAAATATCTTAAATTTTGAATATCCTTCTTGTCTTCATAAATTGTCATAAATTCTAAAATTATAAGTATGTTGTATGTTAAAATAAAGGTTATAAATAACACCCCTGTGCCCACCACCCATACGCGACACTTCATTTTCCTCAATAGTGGTCACAAATGAGACTTTACTGTACATTCATGTATTACATTTGAAAAGTAAATAAATTCTTACCCAATCCACTGCTACCGACAGATGGTGGAGCATTTTCTTTGTTGCTATTAAGTGAATTATCACCAGGATTGTCATGCTGAATATTTCCTAAAATGCAAAAATTTTTACATTTATAAATGTATGTTAATAGATAACTATTAAATCATTTTCAGGAATAAATATTTTATAAACAACTTTAAAGTATTTTTATTCAAGATTTATCAACACTAAGAACAAAAGTTTNATACTTTAGAAGTTAATCTAGTATCAAAAACATTCGATTCAGCACGACACAGTCCGACTGGAACACTTTCGATTGATCAGCATTCAGATAACACTGAACAACAATGATTTTGTTTTGGGCTCAAAATTTGCATATTCTTATGTATTTTCATCTGCTGAATTCAAAAATCACTATAAAAATGATCGATTAGGTCTTGCTTTGGAGCAGCGGTTCCCAACCAGTGGTCCACAAGAGCTAAAATATGGTCCATAAAAGATTTAAAATTTTTATTCACTTTAAATTATAATTTAAAATGAATAAAAATTTTAAATCTTTTACAGACCATATTTTAGCTCTTGCATTTATGTAATCTAAATAATACAAAATATACGAGAAAGGTTTTATAGTAAAATTTGTAAAAAATGTTATTACAAAATAATGCATCTTCAATTATTTCAAATTTTCGTTGGCATTTTTCCTGTAAAACTCCTCAGATCAGCATATAATAAAACTACACTCTATTATAGAATATATATTTATGCAAACATGACAGCCCTCCTTGACTCAATCATGCTGAGCACAAGCGGAAAATATGTGGCAATCTAAAAGTCATCGTTGTACTCTTAGGAATGCAGCTGGGGTACACTAAATACTGTTGCTTTTTATGTATGTGGGACGGTAGGGATAGGAAATCACATTACATTCAAGCGGATTGGCCTGCAAGAAATCTTGACTCTACCAAGAAAAATATCATTGCCGAGCCTCTCGTGGACCCAAAAGATGTTCTTCTTCCACCCCTTCATATCAAGCTGAGTTTAATGAAAACTTTTGCCAAAAGTATGAACCAGAAAGAACAGGCATTTAAGTACTTAAGAGCCAAATTTCCTAGATTGAGTGATGCAAAGGTTAAGGAAGGTATTTTTGTTGGGCCACAAATTTGAAAACTTGTAAAAGGATCCTGTGTTTGACCAAGTTTTGGAGGGAAAAGAAAAGGAAGCTTGGGAAGGCTTCCCAAGCTTCCTTTTCTTAATTCTTTTGTTGCATAAGAATTCCTTTTCGTGAATTCTTAGGCAACAAAAGAGACGATAACTACACTCAGTTGGTGACAATACTTTTGGAAAAATATCATCAACTCGGATGCAACATGTCCCTCAAAATCCATTTTCTCCATTCCCACCTAGATGTGGAGCTGTCAGTGATGAACATGGGGAAAGATTCCACCAGGATATTTCTGTATTGGAACAAAGATATCATGGCCATTGGAATGAAGCAATGCTTGCGGATTACTGCTGGTCTGTGTGTAGGAATGCCCCAGAACTCACAAGAGGCAAGCCAAAAGAAAACAATCTCATGAAGTCACCACATGATTCTCTTTGCACCGAACCACCTGCCAGGTATTCTTCTATTAATTTAGAATTCTTAGAATGTTACTGTAATTTAAAAAAAAATTCAAAAGCACTTTAAATGTTGTTAGCATATGTAATTAAAATGTATCGTTTTCTCTTATGCTGTTAAAATCACCTATTGTATACCACAGAAACTAGAGCTAATAAAAATTTTTCGTTGTCATATTCAATTTTCTCACCCCAAAATTAGTAAGATTTCACTCATGAAATAAAGGAAACGTTCAAAAACGTTTTTTTTTGTTGTCTAGTGTAATCGATGCTCTACTGTATGCTTAAAAAAACCTTTTATTGGTCATGTCAGAGATGTACCCAGGATCTAAACTAGAGTAGGGTAACTCATATTAGTTTTGAGGAAGTAGGGAGGGGGAGAGTGAGATTTCACGACAGATGGCTCTAGTCTAGTCACGATATTCATTATTCAAACTGATACTAAATTGATACATCTGTGTGTCAATTACTACACTTTAATTTTTCTTCTAGGGAGGATCAGCTGCTCCTCCTTGTTCCTTGCTGGGTATGCCCTTGGGTCATGTTTTTCAAGACTGGGGATGGGAATGGTGGGACTGGAGACACCTCCACAATATATATATCACTATAGTACATTTACACACACAACCAAATGTAGAATTTAATCAAAAGGTATGTTTATTGGATTTTCAGATAGAAAAGATAGTGGGGTGGAGCAACCCCTTAATCATTACTAAAATGCATTGTGATCAGACTTAGATATGTTCTCATACTTCAACTTTCTTAATTAGAAATGGGTGAAATTTGAAATATAAGATTTGAGGACATGATACAAATCAAGTTAAATAAAAATATTTAAAAAAGGATACAATAGTCTTTTGCTTTCTTTTCAATTAAAAATTTTATAGTTATATAAATGAAGTTTAAAAAGTTTACAAATTGTAGTTCATTTGGATCATCCCTTGCTAACAGGAAATCATCTACATATTTAATATATAAATGAAAAATTTAAGAATCAAAGTGCCATAAACACCTTTTATTCAATGGCTTTTTAAAATGCAACATATTTTATTTTATCTAATTCAGTTTGTAGAAGATCAAATATAATTTAAAATTAAGAGTTTAATGTTCAATATCTTTATGTTCCAAGTGCCTACTAAAAAACGAAATTGTATCATCAAAAGTAGAGTTAAATATATTTTAACCTGAAACTTTCAGTTGTTTTTCTTTCTTATTTGGCATTTATAATACATATTTTGTATTTAAAATTTCATTAAATAGTGATTTGAAAGCTCAACTGTCAAGATTTTTAAACAATATTACCAAAACTAAATATGGAATTAAAAGGTAAACTAATTTTTTGGATGACTAAATCATAGTTAAACAAATGATGAATTATCAATAGATAGAACGACAAAATATCTTAATAGATGTAACACTGCATTAAAATTCTTTTATGGAAATATTTTTTAAATAAAAAATTCAGAAAAAGTATTAATGACAGATTTAACTGTTTTACTTAATAACATCAAAAGTGAATATATTAATAATATTTACAATTAACTGAACTCTAGAAAAATTTTAATTAATACATATTTTGTAATTCAATCTATAGTGGGTAATTATAAATGTTAATTATAATTATGTATTCGTGGAAACTGAGTCTTAATTAAGGAATAAGAAAAGTAAAAGTTGTCCTCTAGTTTATATTAAAAAATAAAATTATTGTACTTACACGTTTGGAGATACCAAATCTAAATCCCTGAGGCTAGTATTAGGCTGCTTTTGAATGGTTAATTCTTGTCCATCAAATGCATTTAAATATTGAATTTGCTGAGGAGATGGCACCGGCATTAAACTTGGTTCTTTGTGCGGTAAATTTCCTTGAGTATTTGAACAGTCAGTCAGAGGTTTCTGGCCATTCGATGTCTGATTGCAAGAGATGTGACGACCAAACATCCCATCGCCTAAAAAAAAAATTTATACACGATTAAGTAATTATAACATTTACATGAGATGATCTAAGAGTAACTTTACAAAGTCTACAGTTTAAAAACCAAAGCATGGTCAAGTAACTACAATGTAAGTAGTTAATAATGACCCATATATCACACCTGTAACCATTACATACTATTATTAATAGATCGTAAGATTTCTTCATTACTGACAGATTGTTGTTGGGTGTTCTAAAAGACAAGGACATAGGGTAAATGTGAAAATATAATCTTGACTTTGAAGTGAAAGATTCACAGAAATCAGGCAATGATCTTGGTAAATAAAAAATTGATGTCTTTTTTCTGTCACACCCATAACCCGTTAACTTTAATACTCTTAATAAAATGATAATAGAAAACTACTGAATCACTTATGTAAGTGAGCAAGTGTGACTGTAATGCTTCAACATTACTGAAAATGAAAAACTATATCTAGTAAAGAAATATTCCAATTTTTTCTTCTGTGACTGTCACACCCATAACTATGGATTTACCCAATACTAAAGACTGTATATTGTTGTATACTGACTGACTTGTTTTTTTTAACTCATTTCCTGTAGTAATGAATTTAGTATTATAACCTATTAAAGCACAGTAAAACTTTTGGATAAAGCTGATTGTAATAAATTACTGTACTACATATCCACCTTCTTGATTACCATGTCATCGAAAAAACATCCCACTAACTCAGACAACCTTTGCCCCATATACAAATTTTATATAACTGAAAATGGCTAAATCTTACTTTTTGAAAAATGTCATAATAAATTATGAACATGCATCATTGAGAAGAACAAACTGAGATTTCTAATGTCCACCATAGAAAATAATATGTAGATTAAAAAAAATTGGAGCTTATTAAATTTTGTTTCAATAAAATATAGCTTCAGTTAAATACATATCAATCAACTAAAACATTAATTATACAAAATTAATGTTTCAGTTGATCTTATGGAAATAAAAATTAATTTAAAAAATTGTTTTTGTTACAATTATATTCTGCAATTTGATTCTGTTTACAAATTCAATTCTGTAGAATGGTTTATAATTTTAATGTAAAACATTGCCAGCTAGATGGCAGAGGTAATTAAGGCATCGATTATCACTCTAGGGACCTGGGATTGAACCACCCCAAAAAATTCCTGAGGTTAAAAAACCCCAGGAATTTTTTGGGGTGGTCTATCCAATTGAGCCTAGTAAAAAACACTTTTTAGTGTCCACAGAGCAGAAAAAGTAAAATAAGAAATACATATATAATGTTACATCAACAACTATCTTATAGAAGTCAGCCATATAAGTGTACTTTTGTGATGAAAAATTAATAAAACTTACCTGTATTGCTACTAGACGTTGAAGAAGGTTGAGATATTGGAGTAAAATCATTAGAACTGTCTTGACCATCAGTTAAATTAACAGATTGTTTTCTATTTCCAACATTACAATTGCCAACTGGAGTACCTGGGCTTGGACTTGGTAATATACTGGATGGAGTACTTGTTGGAGTAGTGTTGGGATTTGAGGGTGTTGTTGGAGTCCTAACCATTGCAGAATTACCAGTAGAAGGTGGTCCAGATGAAGTAGCTGCAGGTTTTGGTGAATTAAGAGGTGTAGTCTGTATGCTACCACAGCCAGCCGAATTCCCCGGGCTTGATTGTGACATTCTAGGTCCAGGAGGTGTAGGATGAGAAAACTGTCGCGATGTCTCTGCAGGAGACGGTAATCCAGATGTCATGCGAGGAGATGAAAGAGACAAAGAACTTGGATTTGGAGATGCAGGATGAGGACTTGACAATGTACTGCACGGCGTTTGATGATAAGGAGGAGGTGGCGGTGGTGGAGGCCCTGGTAATCTAGTACCAGGACTCATTCCTATACTTGGACTTGGACTGTTGACTGCAGGTTGAGAAGAAGGTGAACCTGAAACTGGTAAAACTGCATTTTGAGTATTTAAATGTTTTCTTCTTCTGTCTTCATAATATTGTTGTTGTAATTTCTGCCACTCTATTTGAGCAGAAACAGATGAAGGAGGCATGTTCTGATGTTGTGAACCAGCAATTAATCCAGAGGCTGGAAACATGCCATTATCACCACATAAGTGTCTATGTTCTTGTTCACTTAAACATGTATGATGAGGATATGGTAAGTCAATTCCTGACTGTGGACACATCTCATTACTTTGAAAACGAGACGGAGCAGGCTGATTTAACATATTATGTATGTTTGATGGAGATTGTTGTTGTTCATGATGCTGATCTGGAAATAATAATTGCTGCATTTTGCGAATCATAGCTAATTGCTCTTCTCGATGTTGCCGTTGCTGAGGTGTTAAATTTTCATCAGGTATTTTCACACCTAAAACAGATAAAACTATATTTAGCAAATTTCAAAGTAGTGCAAAATTTACTAATATAGTTATGCTTTTCTATAGTATATCTCTAAATTTAGTTAATAATTAGTTTAACAACTGAATATCAAATACACATAGTAAAGCAATAACTCATTAGTAGTTTTAGAAATACTTTCACTTCTATTAATAAATTCACAAAAACTGTTGAATTTATCTGATTACGATTAGCCTAATTAATTGACTTACTAGAATTGCTTTATTTGAATAATTAGAAATAAGAATTCTGAAAAATTTAGACTAATCGTGAATGAATCTACAGAATTTATATTTATATTTTATCATCATTGTATCATTAATGAAATAATTATTTTAAATTTTGTTAATCAGCAGATTATTTTATTATTATTATTATTATTCTTGTAATAATGTAATACATCAGATAATATATAACAAAAGCAGAAATTATCCTTACATATTATAGATTACAATGTTTTTACAAGTTCAACTCATCAAATATGTCTAAAAATTGCAATCTATTACTTATATAATCTGAACAACCCTGAGAGGATTTTGATAATTTTATTGTATGGTGTGAGAAACTAGAATTTCCATGAATTAACTAACTAATTAACATGTATTCTAAATAATAAAATCAAAAATGGAAATCAGACAGACTGGTAGCTTCACATAATTCAAAGATGAGACTTCATGTAGTAAAAGAGTTTAAATCTCACTAGACCCTGAACAACCTACAGAAACTAGTATGTCACCTACTTATAAGTGATATGCTAATATAATTTGATCCCTAGTAGTAAACTTATAAGGCAAAAGAAAAAAAGCAACTGACAAAAAATTTTTAAAAATTTGACAAGTCACATATGACTGTTCCTTTTCTCCTATTGTGCATGTGTGCATTTCACAGAATTAATGAGACTTAGTATAGATTGTCATTAGAGACAGAACATAACTTCATTTGAAAGTACTCCAATAATCATTGAAACAAGTGATTTTGAATTTTTCTCAACTAACTATAAGTCAATGCTTTAACTCTATAAAAGTCTCTCTCTATCAAGATTACTGCATAATGTTGATCCTTATCATGGAATTTTCCTTTTCAATTATATTTGTTTCATAATTAGTTTTGTGGATCAAATAATAAGCAGAACTAAAATAATATCTTTTGAAAAATTTATAATGCATGATTTATTCTTTATCTTGAACTGATGCATCACTTTCTTGATTAGTCCAACGTATATGAAAATCAAATAATCTTGGGGTGTGTGTATACCAAGAGTTTCAGAAATCCTAACAAGAAAATAATTTTTCTTTGGTGGCATATGAATTTCATGATCCTCCACTAGTAAAATAAAAAAAATCATTATAATGTAATTGAATCATAATTTCGGATGAAAATGAAAAATACATTTCATCAATTTCAGTTCATGTGTACAATTAGTTTTATTTTGACATATCTTATGCAAATTAAAATATATTGTCCTTTAAAGGTTTAAATTAAATTATTTTTTAAAATATTTTCATAATATATCTTACCTGTAAGAGAGCTACCACTAGACATTAATGCAGGATTGGCAAGAGAACCTTGATAATGATTTCCACTAGGAAAAGAATGATTTCCTTGATTGGATGCCAATGATGGCATACAACCCATTGCATTGGGATGAGAATGAGGACCCATAGATCTCATGGGCGTGTTTTCTCCTGGAGACACTCCCAAAGCATTGTGAAATCTTGGATGATTATTCATCATGTTTCCCTGAGGATATTGCTGCATCCACTGCTGCGGGTTGCAAGTTTCAGATGGACCTAGTGCATTCATAGCTGGCCAATTAAGCGACTGATTAGATCCAGGACACGATCCCATACCGTGAATAGTACAAGGACCAGGACAAGTAGAACCAGAAGGGCCAGAAAATGGATGCGAAAGCATATTGGGTCCACCAAATTGATTTATATTTCCAGATTTTATTTGTCTATTGTTTTGTTTCATTTGTGCTAGATTATTTAACCACTGCGCAGGATTTTGTCGATTAAACTGCTGGATTTTCAATGGATGTTTCTGTAAAAATAATAATTATTTCATAATTTGATTTTTTAAAAATAAATTAAATATACTTATTTAAATTTTTGAAAAGCATTTATATCTATTTTGTTTAATTAGATTTATTAAAAAAATAGTTTATTACCAAAGAACTTTATGTTTGTTAATAATAACTTTTTTATGAACAAGACAAATTTCAAATTTTTTTGGTATCACAATTTTTAATTTTTCTTTGCTAAATTAAATATGTACGTTATAAAAAACCCGCCATGTTGTAATCTTCTAGTTATGTCAACAATAACAAAATATTAATAAACTGCAATCATATTAGAAGAGTCTTATTAATGTCTTTCTCATAACAATTGAAGTTAAATGAATAATAGTTTTTAAAAAATAATATTAACTTTCAAGCTTCATTTCAGCTAGTTGAGTTGGTTGATTAATTGAAACCTTTCCTTTGACTATTAGTTATTTCTGGGAAATTGTACATTTGAATGTTATGAGGGATGGCCAATTTTAGTCAGTTGCTTCCTGTTATTCAAGCTGTTAGGATTTCTGTTTGTGTGCTATCCAGTATAAAGATTATTGTTTGAATTTAAATTCCTACCTCACTGAAAGTAGTTCTACACGTGGACAAACTTTTGTGTCATCTAATAAATGTTTTAAGTGTAGTTAACTGTGTTGAATGACTCCTTTCAACTGAATCTCATTATTTCTTTCTCTGCCCTCTTATACTTATATATGAGACCACATTGTTGCTCGAGACTTGAGTAGTAGTACTTGGTGTCAGAAGTTTCTGAGTGTAATCACTTACATTCAGTAACACATATTGAAAGACATAAACTTCACATATTTTTATTTAACCAGTTGTAATTTAAACTTGTTAAAATATAGATAATATAAAATATTAATAAATTTGATTTTCAAAAACAAAGCTAAAATTAGATTATTATTTAAATTTTATGTAATAATAGTGTAATTCCATTGCCAGTCAAATGTAACTCTTAAACTGATGAATTATTGTTGTTTAAGAAATCAAAATCTGATTTAAAAAAATATGTCATATTAATTTTACTTATTATTATTACTTTTGTGTAATAATATTAGTTTCAGGATCACCATTAAATTGCTTATTAACTTTTACTATGTTACGATTTTATTAAACAAATATTAATACAGATAAATCAAAAATTACTTTACACCTAACTCAGGAATTTTTGACACTGAATCATATCAGGATTTAAATCTAAGCAGACTTTTCATTTTGGTAAAACAGCAAATTAACAATTTACTATTACCATACTGCTCCATTTATTTTAAAATTATTACTTCTGTTTTATGGAGCTTCCATAAAGTTTCATAGAGCAAAAGCATGTAAGTAATGTATCCTTTAACACACTATTTTAAACACTTTTCTAAAATGAATTTTCAATATAATAATTCAATTCTGTAGTACTTGCTAATTACAGTTATAACCATCCATAAAAATTCCTCAGGATCCAACCGAGACTTGAAAACAACTCCCTCAGAATAGCATATACTCAGTTTAGCCATATTGGCCATCTAGCTTTCCAATGTTTGCTTATAATAAAATTGTAGTTATGCTTATGAACAATATTTATTTTAATGTATAAGATTATTTCTCCTCATAATTTCAATTATATTATGCTATGACAGGTAAAACTGGATAAAGAACTTGAAAAAAAATTAATCCAGAAGTAAAATGAACAAAAAACTAACTATCAAAATGATTCATTGTAATAGTAGAATATAATTATTTTTTGTTCACAACTTCAAAATATTAAATGGTTTTGCTTTTTCAGTTCTATCATGTTATCAGCTATATTACTTTATCATGTAATGTAAAATATAACTGACAAGGGAAGTACACTTGATGTCACTAGCCAATTTGGGCAAATTACATGTCAAATGGACAGACTTAATTAGCTTAATAAGACACACATTTTTATTCAAAGCAAGCATTAGAGAGAGGTTGACAAAAATATGTTATGACACACAACTTAAGATAACTTGTGACTCATATAACCAGGTCTGTGGAGTCACATAAAAATCTACCAATTCTGACTCTGCCTTACTATCTGAATCCAACTCTAACCAGGAGCGGACTTGTTACCAAAAAAGACTTGGAAATTCTGATGTCATCACATGACCTCAGAATAAAAGATCCAATAAATAGAGTTCAAATAAAGATAGAATGTAGAAACTTTTTTATTCCAAAGCTAAAAGACTCCTATAAGTAATATATAAATATGTATTCGATAATTTTTACTTTTCCAGCTGTTATATATAAATATATAACAGAGGAAAAGCTTGGTCAAAAAATGACCCCTCTCGAATTTTTACATTTTTCGACTCGGGACACCTTGAAATTCTGAGATATGCAAAAGATTCGAGATTTTTTTCTTTATGCATGGATGTTAGGCTGTGTGTGTGGGAGGGCATGATTCTGTTCACCCTGTTTGAAGCTTAATAACTTCTGTGGTTTTTAAATCCGAGTCAGGTTAAACCATCTGACTCCGATTTAAAACATTTAACACAGGAGTTATTAAGCATCAAAGTGGTTGAACTAAATTGTGCCCCCATACACATTCTAACATCTTAGGCAACATCATATCACGTACCTTAGAACCTTTAACCGATGCGAAATAAAAAATTTAATAGTACAAACGTTTTCAGACCCCTCCTGGGTCCATCTTCAGGCAAAAATCGTTTGAAGATTAACGAAGTACGAAAAATATTCGTTTAGAACGATTTTTTAAAACCGAAAAGATAGAACGGAATCACGTGATCTATATCTGTGAACGTCATATCTTCTACGTCATATTCACAGATATTTAAATATTTTCCCTCGTTTTTAAGATTTTATGAATAACTTTGTTGTTAAGCCCATAAAATATATCACATAATTTTAGATAACCCATTTACTTCCTTTCTTTTAGGATTATGACGTACTTAAACCTCCTGTTGTAATAGGGCCTGCCATGCCAAAGAAAGAGAGATCTCATCTCTAGAATCGATCGGTGATGTAGTGTTGTATGCCTTGCATAATTCTATCTGCTCCAGCCATTTGAGATGGTCTAAATATGAGGTGGTGGTGATTAATTTAGTATTTGAAAAGGTTTGAAAATTTAGCATATAAGGGTACTCTACGAACATGCATACCTGACCTGGAAAGATTGGTGCTAGGCATGTCGGATATTCAAAAGGAATACTATAGATGGTTAGCTACATGCAAGCTAAAGAACGGAAAAGATTCAGTACAGATGATCGGTTTCAGAGAAGACCTTACACGCACAGCTAAATGGATCCGCAGTAATAACCTTACTTTAATCAGGGCGGATAAATCCAAGACTTTAGTGATCATGAGGAGGGAAACTTATGAAAAGGGCCTTAGAGACTATATTGATGATACAGAATGCGTGGAAGCGGAGAACAACGCCATAGACAAATTGCATTCTAGGGTGAAACGATTCTCCAACACAAAATTAGCATCAAGATTAGGTATGCGGAATATAGTCATGGATGCACCTGACACCCCCAAGTTATTTGCATATGCAAAAATTCACAAACAAGACCAGAAATTGAGACCGATTGTAGACAAGGCCAAGTCCCCTACACGCATGTTAGAAGTCTCTTTACACAAAATGATTGCACCACATTTAGAAGGATACAGATACACGATATCTAACGCGGTTGAATTAGCAAAGCTCCTCAAGAACACTGAACATCCCAGCTTTATTACGATCCTGGATTTCCGATCACTATATCCTTCGATCGAGATTCCTCCATGTTTTTGCAGCATCAGGGACTTACTGTTTACAATAGTAGGCAATGAAGAATTCCACCAACAAGTGTTAGAGTTGTCCCACTTGGTTTGTTATAGCTCGATCTTTCAGTTCGGAGGTCTTACGTACACGCAAGGTAAAGGGGTCCCCATGGGCAGTACTGTCTCCGGGGATCTATGTGAGCTAGTAATCAGAGAATTAGAGAGAAAAATACTTCCGAACTTCCTCCAAAACATCATAATTTATAAACGTTACGTTGACGACATCATTGTTCTCTGGAGAGACTCTCCGAACATCACCCAATTCGTGGATCAAATGAATAACAATCCATATGGTCTTACCCTGGAGGTCGAACAACACAGCGACTCATCGGTGCATTTTCTGGATTTGAATATTGACTTTGGAGGACCGATCATACACACCTCCGTGTACCGCAAACCATCAGACATTCCAACTTATATCCCGGCAGACTCATGTGACCCTGTGCAATACAAGATGGCGGCATTCAGGGCTCTAGTTAAAAGGGCTCACACACACTCTTCCACTCAAGAGGCCTTAGAACAGGAAATACAATACCTATACGAAGTGGCCAAACAACACGGATACCATAACATCATACAAAAAATGTCGCAACGGTTCGGAGAAACGATGTCTCCTTCTAAAAGAATTAATTCAATAGGTGCTAACCAAAAGGAGGATAAACCGAGGATGTCAGTTACTTACAACCCACTGTTGAAATCAATACATAATAGAATCGCACGGCAGAAGGGTATCTCCCTAACCTTCAGAAGATGCCCAACCATATTTGGTATTCTACGTAATGGAAAAGACAAATCTAAGGAAGAAAGAATGCCGGGGGTATATAAAGTGCCACTTAGGGACCATCGTTTTGGAAAGGACTTAATTTACATAGGCTCAACAAAACGAGCTGTTGGGATCAGATTGAAAGAACATATGCGTGACATCCAGCAAAATAAATGTACCACTTCCTTATCAACTTACGCGTCTGATCCAGAAATAACTGCGGACTTTTCAAATGCTAAATTAATCACCACCACCTCATATTTAGACCATCTCAAATGGCTGGAGCAGATAGAATTATGCAAGGCATACAACACTACATCACCGATCAATTCCAGAGATGAGATCTCTCTTTCTTTGGCATGGCAGGCCCTATTACAACAGGAGGTTTAAGTACGTCAATCCTAAAAGAAAGGAAGTAAATGGGTTAGCTAAAATTATGTGATATATTTTATGGGCTTAACAACAAAGTTATTCAAAAAATCTTAAAAACGAGGGAAAATATTTAAATATCTGTGAATATGACGTAGAAGATATGACGTTCACAGATAAAGATCACGTGATTCCGTTCTATCTTTTCGTTTTAAAAAATCGTTCTAAACGAATATTTTTCGTACTTCGTTAATCTTCAAACGATTTTTGCCTGAAGATGGACCCAGGAGGGGTCTGAAAACGTTTGTACTATTAAATTTTTTATTTCGCATCGGTTAAAGGTTCTAAGGTACGTGATATTTTGTTAAATCCGATGTGCAGACGATAATTATTAGGCAACATCTTAACAGGTTTCACTGTACTATTATAAAATGACAAAAAGCTCACTTTGAGGGTAGAGACAAGTTTTATTTTTTTAAATTTTGAATGCTAATAACAAGTAAAATATTCATTAAGAGATATGATACATGACCCCTTTTATGTCTTCACCCTGTCAACCTTTAAGAACCAAAATTTAATAGTATTAATGTCCCTTTATATGCAAGCTACAGTGCCACATTTTGTTTCTTAAACTTTATCCATTCTGACATATTGTTTAATATCTCAGAACAAAAAGTAAAGAAATTAAACAAATTAGATGCCAACACATACACGTGCATGAATTTTCCCCTTTTTATTGACTTTTTCGGGGGTTTGAGAGGTCTCCAAACGTGTAGATTTGCAAAAAAACTTGGAGGGTCAAATTTGACACGATTCCAATACTTTTCTGTTTTATATACATAACAAGTTGGGAAGTAAAAAGGAGTCAAAATCGGTGCATTTTTTGACAACTCCGACTCTGCTAAAACACCAAAACTCCACGACTCCGACTCCACGGTCCTGCATATAACTTATGCAAAACCAACAAAGTAATGAGATAATTAATGTTCCTTATCCAATCCCCATGATTCCTCCACCTGGGGGGAGTTCAAATTTTCCCATAGGTGTAGTTCTAGACCTCTAGGACAAAGTTTGGACATTTCTTATAAATTTACATGGGACTTCATTAAAAAAAGCAACGACAACTGTAATTAGTAAACATACCATTCACTAATTATAATTGCATGTTTCAATGAAGCTATTCTTGTTCTTGGTAGCAATTTGCATAATTTCAGTATGGTAAGTTCTAGAACCAAATTTAAGATGTACGGAATGTCTTTTTTTACAGATCTAGTGTACAAAAATGACAATTAATCCATCCTGTGTAATGTTGCATACATACCAAACAAATTAATCTTTAAGTGGTCTAATTGCAAAAACTTTAATAAGCTGTAACTTCTTTAATACTTGTATTGTGCAGATATTTTAGTGTATGACTGTATTCTTAATTATCTTTCACTTGATATCATTATATAATTAAAACTGTTAGTTATTCCAAGTGAACTTTCCTTGTAAAATAAAAAAAAATTTATGTATAAGAAGAATTCAAACTATAATTAAAAATTCCTAAATGTCAATTATGTCTCATTTAAGAATTATTTGCATTTTGTTGTAACTGCGCATTACAATCAATCAGATGTATTTGATGATACATACAGTTTAATATTCTTAAAACTCAATTTAAAATATTGAACAAATATTGTTATGTTAATTCTAGAAATTATAATCATAAGTTTTTCTACATTAAAACATTTAAAAACTAAATTCAACAAATGACCTATTTATTTTTTTAATTAAGAGAAAAGTTTCATAATAATATAAATACCTCAAGAAATCTTTTTGTTCCTGGCTGAGAACAATGAAAAGCAATGATAGAAGGAAACTGTCCTGTAAGAACTGAATCTGATGCTCTATTGGCAAGACTTGTTGAAAATACAAATATTTGACTTTGTTGTTGCATGTACTGAGTCTCCATTGGAACAGTGGATTTGTTGAGCATGTTGCTTGGCAACGGTTGGACGGAGGATGAGGAGCCAGATGGTCCTGTTGACCCAACCATGTTGGACATAGCAGACACAGGAGGCAACTCCCCTAAAAATGATCATTTTTTAAAATACTACGTCAAAATAAAGTATAGAATAGTAATAATTTAATGTTTTTATAATTATTATTAATAAATTAAAATTAATTCCGAATTATTGCTTGATTACACTGGGTTATAATAAGATACTATTTAATAATTAAATGCCAAGCAATTTAACCTAGAAGTAGGATTAGACACCATCTCTTGATAAGTTTATTAATTATAATTAAATTAACATTTAATAATTAATCTAGAAAGTTCTGGAAGAAAGAATCTAAAGAAACTTGATATTTAAATGTTAAATAGTATCCTTATTATAGCCCAACGTAGTATGGCAATCATTTGGTATTAATCTAAAAATTGCGTTAATAGATGTATAAACATCTGTTTGTTAATATGAAATTTAAAATATGCTTAATTCTGGAAAACAAAGTTTATTAAGTAATATTTTCAGTTTTATTATTTTAAGCCATTTTCGGCTTACAACTGACTTATATAGAACAACTTAGAAAAACTATTTACCTGTTTTGTAATTTAAAATATGCTAATATTAAAACCAAATGATTTTCAGAAAATTTTTTAATATGTATGATTTAAATTTACATCTATAGCAAAAAATTTTAAATCATATATATGAAAAAATATTCTTAAATTAATTTAAAATATAATGGAAGGAAAGATCAATCCAGAGCAAGACTCAAACCTGCAATTTCTGCTCATTACACAACCTGTACTTCCATTAGACTTTTGCTTCCAGACCACTCAATTTAGAAGATATAATATAACCATACAGGTTACTTGCCATGCCAACTTGAACTTTTACCTTGGTGTATATATATTTATAATTACATATAAAACCAAGTCATCATCAGTCAGTGTGATGAGTGACCTGTATGAATATATCTTCTAAATTAACTGGTTCTGAAGTTAAGATCAGACAAAGATTTGGACTACTGTCTGACTAAAGAGAGAATTTTCAGTCTAATATGTAAAAAGAAAATTGTATTCAGAAGCAGTTTAGTTAATGCAAGAACACTGAACATCTTTGTTAGCTGAAGTATTCATATGACATCTAAAATATATCATAAGTATAAAGCAAACAATAACATTCTAAATAAGGCAAAAAAAAAATGTTTGCCAAGATATATAACAACCTACATCAAAAAACTTAACTGGCTGCATATTGTAAATTAACAAAAATAAATTCTTTCATAATGTACCATTTTTATGATTGGCCATTCATTTTCACTTGTTTAGAAGTATGACATTATTAAGTAATTTATTAATTTATACAATTTACAGTAAAACCTCTCTTTGTGACCTCTGATTTGTCTCTATCTCCAATATGTGACCATGTGTGTTTGGTTCCTTCCATATAAATCAGCCTTGAATATGTGACCGTTTGCACAAGTCAAGGCATGCAGTTACTTCAAATACAACTTTTTGTCATACGGAGCTGTTTTTTTTTTTGTTGTTTCCAGGCAATGGTGAATTAAGAACTTTTAAGGTCTCTCGATACATCAGATTGGAAGCCCTCTAAATAAATTCTATATCAAACTAATAATGTCTTATGTAGTCTTAGAATTATTTATAAGTTATGATATACAATTATAATGGTAAAACTGCTTTACTCTGTTTCCAGAAATACTATTATAATTAGGCAATAGTCAATGAAATGTAATTTCTATACAGTAATAAGGGTATTAGGGTGGCTAGGTTATCAGCCATCTAATCCTCTTATTACTGTAGAGAATTGCATTCATTAAGCAATCATAAATTTCAGCATGAATTCTTTAATAAGTAATGTTTGGCCTTATTCAAAAGCATTCATAAGGTTACAGTACTATGAATATCAAAGACCCTCACAAAATATCTATGGAAATGTTCTGCGAGTGTCTTTGATATTTGAAAAAGTAACTTTATCATAAACAAACTACTACTAACACTTAGTCTTTTTTAACTTGCTTAAAATATCTTAAATTTTGAATATCCTTCTTGTCTTCATAAATTGTCATAAATTCTAAAATTATAAGTATGTTGTATGTTAAAATAAACTTTATAAATAACACCCCTGTGCCCACCACCCATACGCGACACTTCATTTTCCTCAATAGTGGTCACAAATGAGACTTTACTGTACATTCATGTATTACATTTGAAAAGTAAATAAATTCTTACCCAATCCACTGCTACCGACAGATGGTGGAGCATTTTCTTTGTTGCTATTAAGTGAATTATCACCAGGATTGTCATGCTGAATATTTCCTAAAATGCAAAAATTTTTACATTTATAAATGTATGTTAATAGATAACTATTAAATCATTTTCAGGAATAAATATTTTATAAACAACTTTAAAGTATTTTTATTCAAGATTTATCAACACTAAGAACAAAAGTTTGAATTGTTTTAATGATTCTTTTAATTTAAACTGCTTGATTAGTTTATAACCTGATAATGGCCATTGAAGATAATTAAAAATGTTCATTTTTTTTCAATAAAATCACACTGGTAAATATGTTAATTATTCTTGAATTCGAAACAAATCTTTAACACAGTTGCAACTAGAGTGGTATAGCAAGAAAATTTTTCAGTTATGGCAAAAAACTCCTTGATATATATAATAAGTCTAGAGTTTTTCTTTAACTTTATAAACCATAAGTTTGTGTGAATAACCCATGCTGGCATATAACTTACAGAAAACTGCTAGAATGAAAATAAAATCTTTATGTTATCTGCACCATCACATGATTTTCCTTTCCACAGAAACTAAAAACATCACATGTAGTTTAAAAGGTGCTCTATCATGCTGAATATTTAAAATAATGTTTTTTTTACTGTTTTTATTCCATTAGCAGTCTGTTGTAGATTTAATAATAAGTACATGAAAAAAATGAAATGCTGAAACAGAATCTTTTAAATTTTTTGTCTCAAAAATACAAAATAGCTGGCAAACAACAATAATTTTTTTACTGTATCACTTCATTTTTTTTAGTTTTCACATAAAAAAAAATAATAATAATAATAACTCTCTAGTGGTCACCACCTGGTTGTGGTGGAAAAGCCCAGTAATTTTACTGATCCATAGGGCAATGCAGGCTAGAGCACAAGCTCCTGGTAGGGACATCCATGCCAGTAAGGTCTATGGGGAGAAATGAAGCTAAGAGTGACCACACCCACATTCTGTGGAGATGTTTATCATGGTAGTAACCAGACTGAAGTGTGATACCGGCTCAGATATTGCCCGGGTTAACAAGGTACGTGTTCGTGGGTTAGGCAGAGGCTCACATTTGAAAAATAGGCCACAGTCTCCCTTGGTTACCGGTGGTGAAAGCTGCGCCGGCCCAAGCATGGCTACTGCAATGCCCTCAACAGATGTGAGGAATCAACCTAGCCTTGGTGTTTCTGTGGCATCCACAGACCACAAAGGCTGGAAAACCATGCCGACGGATGAAATGGACAACAGAAATGAACGAGTTTATCATCCATACTTACTACACCATCACAAGACTCAAAACAAACATGACAGCACACAGACAACAACTACACCATAGATTCACACAGCAATATCCTCACCTCACTGTCACTGAACAAAAGGTTGTCGATCAAAAAAGAACAATTATACACAACAACCTTATCCCACAAACAACACTTGAACTTATCAAACAACAGGCTGCTGATCAAATACATCAACAGGCAGAAACATTTAACATTATTAATGAAGATCACGTAACCTGTCAGGTTAATCCAGCAACAAGCATTGATAATAGCACACATACAACAACTACCATTAATGATACTGCAGACACTTCCTCATTCATCACTGATAACATAGACATAGATTTAGTTAATACACTCTCAATAGATTTATATTAATACAGTTATATTTCAGGAAACACTCACTAAATATACAGGTACAGATCCCACACAAAGACCACGAATACCAAAAATCAACATGTCAAAGGTAGTAGGAAAAACACTAAATTATGTAAACACTCATTTACTACCACACTACATCCAATTAATTTCTACACTCTCAGACATTCATACATTAGTTTATGCTGGGGCAGTCACAGTAGTGACACACCATGGTCTGAAAATATCAATACATTTGGAAACAGATACACACAAAACACAATTCTATCACAAACCTGCCTGGCAGAGAAGAATAGAAACACAAATAAATCACATTAGACAGCAACTAGGCAGGCTGACACAATACACTAAAAACAACATAACACCCAAATTAAAGAAACAACTCAAAAACATTTTCAAGATAATTAAAACACACACAAAACATGAACATCACAACACACACATTACAGAATACATTGATACACTAAAACAAAAACTCGCAGCCAAAGCACATAGACTCAAATGATACAAAACATGTACTATACACTATGAAAACAACAAAATAAATTATTCACAAACAATGAAAAACTTTTCTACAGACAAATCAATACAAAAACAAACACTGATTCACAGTTTCTGTTGGTGTGCCACCAACAGAACAACTCACAAAATTGGTCTTCTCTTTGGTCCAGCGCTGTCACACACAATGCTGATGCAGGCTGGATCGAAGAGGAGAACAGAAACTTGCACAACATACCAATTATGCCCTGTGCTGAAATAAACGTACACGACATCCGCTATGCTGTTAACAGAACACACAACTGGNGTGTAATAATATTAGTTTCAGGATCACCATTAAATTGCTTATTAACTTTTACTATGTTACGATTTTATTAAACAAATATTAATACAGATAAATCAAAAATTACTTTACACCTAACTCAGGAATTTTTGACACTGAATCATATCAGGATTTAAATCTAAGCAGACTTTTCATTTTGGTAAAACAGCAAATTAACAATTTACTATTACCATACTGCTCCATTTATTTTAAAATTATTACTTCTGTTTTATGGAGCTTCCATAAAGTTTCATAGAGCAAAAGCATGTAAGTAATGTATCCTTTAACACACTATTTTAAACACTTTTCTAAAATGAATTTTCAATATAATAATTCAATTCTGTAGTACTTGCTAATTACAGTTATAACCATCCATAAAAATTCCTCAGGATCCAACCGAGACTTGAAAACAACTCCCTCAGAATAGCATATACTCAGTTTAGCCATATTGGCCATCTAGCTTTCCAATGTTTGCTTATAATAAAATTGTAGTTATGCTTATGAACAATATTTATTTTAATGTATAAGATTATTTCTCCTCATAATTTCAATTATATTATGCTATGACAGGTAAAACTGGATAAAGAACTTGAAAAAAAATTAATCCAGAAGTAAAATGAACAAAAAACTAACTATCAAAATGATTCATTGTAATAGTAGAATATAATTATTTTTTGTTCACAACTTCAAAATATTAAATGGTTTTGCTTTTTCAGTTCTATCATGTTATCAGCTATATTACTTTATCATGTAATGTAAAATATAACTGACAAGGGAAGTACACTTGATGTCACTAGCCAATTTGGGCAAATTACATGTCAAATGGACAGACTTAATTAGCTTAATAAGACACACATTTTTATTCAAAGCAAGCATTAGAGAGAGGTTGACAAAAATATGTTATGACACACAACTTAAGATAACTTGTGACTCATATAACCAGGTCTGTGGAGTCACATAAAAATCTACCAATTCTGACTCTGCCTTACTATCTGAATCCAACTCTAACCAGGAGCGGACTTGTTACCAAAAAAGACTTGGAAATTCTGATGTCATCACATGACCTCAGAATAAAAGATCCAATAAATAGAGTTCAAATAAAGATAGAATGTAGAAACTTTTTTATTCCAAAGCTAAAAGACTCCTATAAGTAATATATAAATATGTATTCGATAATTTTTACTTTTCCAGCTGTTATATATAAATATATAACAGAGGAAAAGCTTGGTCAAAAAATGACCCCTCTCGAATTTTTACATTTTTCGACTCGGGACACCTTGAAATTCTGAGATATGCAAAAGATTCGAGATTTTTTTCTTTATGCATGGATGTTAGGCTGTGTGTGTGGGAGGGCATGATTCTGTTCACCCTGTTTGAAGCTTAATAACTTCTGTGGTTTTTAAATCCGAGTCAGGTTAAACCATCTGACTCCGATTTAAAACATTTAACACAGGAGTTATTAAGCATCAAAGTGGTTGAACTAAATTGTGCCCCCATACACATTCTAACATCTTAGGCAACATCATATCACGTACCTTAGAACCTTTAACCGATGCGAAATAAAAAATTTAATAGTACAAACGTTTTCAGACCCCTCCTGGGTCCATCTTCAGGCAAAAATCGTTTGAAGATTAACGAAGTACGAAAAATATTCGTTTAGAACGATTTTTTAAAACGAAAAGATAGAACGGAATCACGTGATCTTTATCTGTGAACGTCATATCTTCTACGTCATATTCACAGATATTTAAATATTTTCCCTCGTTTTTAAGATTTTTTGAATAACTTTGTTGTTAAGCCCATAAAATATATCACATAATTTTAGCTAACCCATTTACTTCCTTTCTTTTAGGATTGACGTACTTAAACCTCCTGTTGTAATAGGGCCTGCCATGCCAAAGAAAGAGAGATCTCATCTCTGGAATTGATCGGTGATGTAGTGTTGTATGCCTTGCATAATTCTATCTGCTCCAGCCATTTGAGATGGTCTAAATATGAGGTGGTGGTGATTAAATTTTCTTTTTAATCAACTTAACTTTTCAAATGCTAAATTAATCACCACCACCTCATATTTAGACCATCTCAAATGGCTGGAGCAGATAGAATTATGCAAGGCATACAACACTACATCACCGATCAATTCCAGAGATGAGATCTCTCTTTCTTTGGCATGGCAGGCCCTATTACAACAGGAGGTTTAAGTGCGTCATAATCCTAAAAGAAAGGAAGTAAATGGGTTATCTAAAATTATGTGATATATTTTATGGGCTTAACAACAAAGTTATTCATAAAATCTTAAAAACGAGGGAAAATATTTAAATATCTGTGAATATGACGTAGAAGATATGACGTTCACAGATATAGATCACGTGATTCCGTTCTATCTTTTCGGTTTTAAAAAATCGTTCTAAACGAATATTTTTCGTACTTCGGTAATCTTCAAACGATTTTTTGCCTGAAGATGGACCCAGGAGGGGTCTGAAAACGTTTGTACTATTAAATTTTTATTTCGCATCGGTTAAAGGTT